CGTCAGTCACCAACAACAGTTCTTTTCAGAACTACACTCACCCGGACGATCACACTATACGAACTACTGATACTCCTGGGTTCAAACCATTTACTGAGTTTTAGTTTTATTAGTCACCTTTTCAGTAACCAGTTACAATCAAAGTGAAATATGTAAAAGCTATAAAGACAGATATATAAGAAACTAAATAAATGAATCGATCGACCTGATTTAAAAAAAAAAAAGAAAGAAATGGGTAAATGAACAAAGCAAGAGGATCAAACAATGTAAAATGTGTTAGTCTATGTGTCTAAGACTGCGTAAGGACGAAGCCGGAAAGAAAAAGGTGAATGTCGAATGAATGAAAACATAATGAAGGAAAAACCAATGAAGGGAAAGACTGATTGAGGGGGGAGTGAATAAGTGAGAACAAAGCATCGTGTTACAAACCTGAGATATTGCAGACAAACACCAATCTGTGGATCATCTCTGTGGAAGTTGTGACTGCTGTCTGAGTCATCTGACTGATCTTCCTTCCGTGACAAGCTTCTACATTTCTTTAGTGGAGGGTCATCTGATTCTACAATTCAAAACAAAGAACTTTTACGTCGGAATGCGGAAATTTCATTTCTTTATAAATGTGAAACCACAAAGTCCCCTTCCTGTTATTCAAACGGCATGCCATAAAACGTCGTGTCCTACCTTTGTGCTTGTTTTTAAGGGAACTTGTATCCCTCTTCCCTGATCGAACGGCTGCGTTGAATTCTTCCTGGCATCTTCTCTCTCCTATTCCAAAAATAACAAAAATTAAAAACAATCTCACAGACTGAGAAGCTCTTGCTACTTTTACTGTTCCTAAGCAACAATGAATGTCTGCACTAAAACAAACCGCTCCCTTTCTAGCTTTTTCTTTAAGGAGAATGAGAGGTTTCAACAAAATGTCTGCCGTGATACCGGCCACACTAAAAGACTCTTTATTTAGGAATTCAACGTCCTGCACAGTACATGCAGAAGTAAATACTGAGCTTATGTGAAACGCACACGAAAGGCAATTTACCTCGCGTGTACTCCCGCCACGCGCTCCCTCAAGGACGCGCATCAGATATCATGATTTACCTCTAGCAACGAAGCGTTTAATCGAGTGGATACCAAATCAGTACAGAAGACAACGATTTAGAAGTAAGAAGCAATTTTTAAATGCGCTAGACATGAAGGAATAGAGTTCTTGTAGCCTACAAGAAACTTGTAGCTTGCTACAAAAACAGCGTTTCCGCGTGTTTCCAGCGACACAAGAGTCATGGCGGCTAGCCAGGTATCGAGAAGAATACAATGCATGTTACTCAGTAATGATGCATTATTCCAAGAATGAAAACAAGACGTTAAGTGAACCAATTCCCTTTAAGATAATTGAAAAAAAAAAAAAAAAAAAAAAAAAAAAAAAAAAAAAAAAAAAAAAAAAAAANGTATGAGGTTGCTGGGATCTCCTGCTACTCTAAAATGTTATTTATTATATATCACACTGTTGTAATAGATGAGTGGCAAATAAACTAAAAAAAAAAAAAAAAAAAAAAGATATAAGGTTACACGACCAGACCGCTTGGCTACATAGGAAAAAGGCTCGGCACAAGGAAGTAAATTGATGGCTGGCAAGTGTTGTGCTGTTGTGTTTTATGGCAACATAATAACCGCATCACGAAATTATGCGTGCATTCCTTAACTCTGCAGATTTCCTACCCTAGCATGGATGTTTGGGAGGGTCGAATTTATCGGCGATTGAAATGCTTCTCATACGTGCCTCTTTAATAAATGTATGGCATGCACACAACTGAATACTTGTCACATCAGTTTTAATTCGATTCGCTTTTCAGGAGTTTGATATTGTGAAATTGCGGATGCCGTAAGGCAAAGTGTCCGGCCAGATGGACTTGCTTTCAATAGTGCAAGCAGTAAAAGACGGCGCACTCATCCAGTCTGCAAGTTGGCCCTACGGTTTTTCTCGATCGCTTGCTTCCAGGCTTTTCAAAAAGCCGAAATCTGGGAGGTGCAAACGAGAGCTTAAGTGGACCATAAACATGAAAAAGGAGAGCAGAAGTTATATACCATAATTACGACTTCCGTAAATTTTTATTATCGGAAAAGGTTCAAGGGCACAGATTGACGTGGCGATCAGATGTAGAAGGAAACATTCCAAACAACCACGCACAGGACGTGAAAAAATGAAATTGCGGTTGAAGAATACGACATGCATATACGCTTGCCAACACGTTTTATTTATCAACAGCTTCCTTCTTTCCTTATCCATCACTCAAACTTGTTTGACGGGAATTATCTGTCACTCTGATCAACCAATCGGTTTGTCGGATTGAAGTTCCGCTTAGGCGGATTATCGGCACATGGTAGCAGTTGTATAGAAAGCTGGAAAAGTGGTTCGCGTTGAAGCTTACTTGAGATTCTCTTCAAACAATATTTTTTCTATTTGCAATAGCACAGATATACTGAAAGAGGTGGGCGGAGGGGGAGAAACCTCAAGTAAACAAAACAACAATCAAAGTTAACGTTTCGAATATTTTATTGTCACTGAGTTTATGATTCTATCGCCGGGAACGATAATACGAACAAGATAAGCAATAGAAATGGAAACATTCTTACGAAAATTAGAATTCGATGTTATTTGGTACAAATTTTCAGACAAAGTGAGTCCCAATATATTTATAAAGGTATGGTTCCATTTGTCAGCGAAGCGATATACTGAAAACTTAACAATATTTAAGATGTACAAAAACAATATAGTGACTATCGCGACAAAATTAATATAGTCTTTTTGATATACGTTTTCAGTATCATTAGCACTCAGTTTTCGCCGTATAAGAGATTCGCTAGTTTATTTACATCAGTCTCTCGCGGGTGGCTTTCCAGAACGCGGATTATTTGCCCTTCATCGTCGCATATGTCCTTAAGCATTTTAAATAGATAGTCAAATTGTTCTCTGTTGGTAGAACTTTGTTGAGAGTTGCTATCAACTTGGTCTCTTGGCTGTCCTCGGCCTGTAAAATTGCCGCGATATGGAGCTGGTGCTGGCTCATAATAATGCACGTATGTGGACTGTCCCGCGGGATATGCCATAGTCGTGGGTGGAGGGTAAGGCACTTGGGGGTTGTAGTGTGGCGGCCACGGTGTTTGAAGCGGTGGAAAGTGGCTCATGTCGGAAGGGTACATGGGAAGTGCGTCGTGATACTGGAGGTTTCTTGAAGTGTAGTCTGGACCTGCTGGATGAAGATAGTCCGAATAGACATTTCCAGCGTAAAACCCGTGTTGATATGAACGTTCACCACCACTGGAAACACGGGTGTGCTCATACGGGGATGCACCAGCGGGAACTTGTCTCCCACGGGCTAAAATATCATCGGGTCGCCCGCGATTATAGTATTCACGGGATGTGAAAGGAGAAACCCGAGGATCTCCTACAATGTTCCTTGAATGATCTTCACTGGTTGACGTCGCAGTCGATTGATTTGTAGCACAAGAGGAAGTCGTAACACTTGGCTCCACTGTACTGCTTGCAGAGTGCTCTGGGAGTTCAGAGGAGGTTCTTGTCGAAGCAGCTCGCTCCCGTAGTCGCTGTGTGTCCCTCTCAGGATGGTAATATTTGCACCGGTTACCAAAAGTACAGTTTTTTAAATAGGGGCATATCTTGGGGTGTGTTGCAGAACCCTTCCTGAGGAAGTCGTCCAAAGAGGGACCCTGTCTTCCCAAGGGATCATCTGGCGGCATGAAACGGTCTCCTACAAAAAGGTACCCCATTGTGCGCTGCTCGATAGTCTCTTTCCATCTGGGATTTTCTTTGAGTAGATCTCGAAAATGGTCATTGGAAACGATTATACCGCCATTTTGATCCGCTAATTCGACCGTGTACTTGTCATCGTAACACACGATGCGGCGGTTGCCATTCCATCGTGATGGTGTGAACTTCAAAATATTTTGCCTGGCTAGTTCGTGGAGTACTTCCTGGTCTTTTATGGGGCTTTCTGGACGAAACTCTCGCATTCTCCACTTGGGCACGAAAACAGTAATGTCACTATGTCCTCTCCGCCTGAAGTACTCCACGCAAAGTTTTATTCCTCGACATGAAAACACCTCCTGGTTTCCGTGATCCATAGCGACGTTGCTACCATCGATGACGATCGGGCGAAGATTATCTGAGTGTGCGGCGACCGGCTGAATAAGGTCTCGTTGAATGAAGTAATCTGGACTTCGATTTGGGACGGGAGCACCTCGTCGAAGCAGATTACGGCCACTGTCTGCAGGTTGCAAAGGTGCCGCCGCACAATTTCCCCGAACAACTGGAAGACAATTCGTATCCTCTGGCGTCGCGGAGCCAAGCTGCAGAGCAGAAGTAGAGTTTTTGACCAATTTTTCTACCAGCTGATTAAAGTTTATTTCTGTTCCAAATGTTTTTATGACGGCGTCGATTTCTTTGTCGGTGTAGTTAAGCTTACGCGCGAATTCCCTCATGGATGGCGCAATGTCTGTTGCGTGTACCGTAGCACGTTCTGGTGGGATGTTTTCGCCGTCTTCCTCGACAATACCGCCATCTTCTTTCGAGGTAGTATTGATTTCACCTTGTTCCTTGAAATCAGCAATGCGTTGCTCAATTCCAGACACCGCCAAGGTTCTGTGTACATCGTCATAACTCTGAACATAAACTGTAGAGCCACTAAATGACAGTACAGCTCCATAGAGTTTTTCCACGTCCATACCTTCATTACCGTTTTTCAGCCTTTCACACAAGCGGGGCGGAACTTCTACGGAGTGCTTCGGTTCATTGCTACACAGAGACTTGATGTAAGTCTGTGCTTGTTTTTGAAGCTCTCTGTCCGTTCCTTGTAGGCAAATCCACTGTTGACCACTCGTTGGATCATTTCGTTTGATCGTAACATCAACGCCGAAAAGAGAGCGTATTCTTTGAACCTTCTCTTTCAAAAGCGAGATTTTATCCTGCTTTATGACAAATTCCGTCGGCTGCTGCTTTTCCATTTTACTGAGATTCGATTATAAACGTCCTGAGCGAGCCTTTCGCGATGCAAACTGTTCGAACGTCCTGCTTTATTGAAATAGAAGAGCAATATATTGTGGGCCAAACAAGGAAGTTTCACGAATATTAATAGTCCGCCAATCAGAAGGCAGCAGAACAAGAGGGGTTTCCCCGAAACAAAATCCTTAAGACTTCCGCTGTTGGGTTTGTTGTCGCCTTGGCCAAGTTCGATCTTGCCTTCAGTGTATGCAAATCAAAATTTTCGGTAATTCTTTTAAGAGATCGTCTGCTTGATTTGCCACGAAATGTGAAGCTTTTGAGATACGACCGAGTTAGTTAAATGAAACCCAGAGTGTTATTGCGTTTGTACTCTAAATAAATCAAGGTTTAATATTGCAATTCGACGAAAAAAAATATTTATCAACGTTCAGGTTCTTAGAACCCCAAAAGCGGGAGTTTTAGCCAGGATTCAAAAACCACTTTCCGGGAAATCGTTTAGAAAGCGAAGGGGGCACTTTTCTTTCCCAGCCAAGTCAGCAACAAACATAGAAACGAGAGTGGAGTGATCATGACGCGGCAGAAATGTCACACAATCCGTCGCTTGACAATGGAATTGACCATTCGACCGTAAGAATCACAACAACATTGACAAAAGGGGAAGTTGTTTCTATTTTTAAAGTAATCAATATACAATAGCATAAGAGTTTCAAATGGCTGCGCAGGAAAGCGCTTTTGTGTTTCCATCAGTGCTGAAAGGGAAAACGAAAGAAAACACTTCCTTTATGAGTTGCTAGGGAATTGGCAGACAGAAGGACGCCTACGAAACTAACTTCGTTGGTCATAGATCGAGCGTTAATCGAAAACGCAAAATACCTCAGATCGTGTGAATTTACTGAACCAAAGGGAAGACGTTGTGGATAGTAAACGCATCGTGTTCCCAAATAGTTTCGACATTATGCAAGGGTTTCAAAACTTCCCGAACGGAAAATCAGTAACAACAATGGGAACAGGAATAATTAACGAAAACAAAAGTGCTTTATTGAGAAAATAAAACGTCTTGGAAAGAGAGTGTTTATAAAAGACCACATGTAAACTTAATCACACATGTGGACTGCAGGTGGAAGAGTTAGAGCGAAAGAGACTGACAAGCATTTGAAGAGATAGAGAGTGTGTTAGCTCAACTGGCTGAAAGTATTAAAACACACACATGCAATGAAAAACACAGGCTCACTTTCTTGAAGTCCTGGCACCAACTTAAATATAATATCTTCCAACATTTGGTCTGACCTGGATGAAAAAAGAAAAATCAGAAAAAAAATGTTTGACCTATGTAACATTGGAAGCTTCTGCAAATGTTGCAGCACAATGCAGTAGGAACCCCCGACCAAACCGAGTCGTGGCGACCCCTGACATACAACCCCTCACTTGACATTTTCATGCGACGACTTGATTTTTGGAAGAGAGCATTTTCGTTTCTATTTTAATTGATGGCTACAGCAGCAAAAAGTAACTATGGAAAAGTCTTAATATCTCTGAGCAAACCAGGAGAAAAACGTATTAAAGCAACTGACTCGCTTTTTTAACACTGCTAAATTTGAAAGCGCCATACTAAAAAAGCCCCATTATTTAGTCTTAGCGGAATCTGCTTCCTGTTTTCCACGCACACCGTGTACCAGAAAACTCCTTGTGAGCATGCGTTCACTTGAAGAACGTTTCAAAACATGCAACTGAAATTATTTCGACCACGTATAAGAGAGTAGGCGTTTTATGTGTTCCAGGATTAGAAACCTTTTGTGATAACGAACATCCTTTACACAGGCACACAAGGGAAATTTGCAAACAAGAAACAAGTAAAACTACTAACACAAGATGCACTCTCGTTATTACACGGAAATGTTCTTATTTAGGTTTTTGTGAAAAGAGGTTAAACAACTTCCGGTACAGGATATTTTTGTCCGATAAGACATCGCGAGTCTCATTTTTACAATGAACTAATGACAACGATATAGAAACATAATAACAGGGTTAACTGCATTTTTTGTGGTATGAGGTAGAGTACAGCATCGATGTTTTGTCCTTTATTGGATTTTAGGATCTTCGGTTGTCACTACAGCTAGTGTGTGCCAAAATTTTCAAGTTTCGCCCCAATCCCAAAACTACTCTGAGAGTTGTCTGGTAAACTAATTCCTTAGAAGATTTCTTGCAGTACAGAACTTTTCATACATATTCCGTTCAAAAACAACGGCAAAAAAGAAAAATAACACCACGTTTCGTTGAGAGAAATTGATTTATTTTTCATTTTATTGATACTTTTGTGGGGTGTATATGAAAATATATTTCAATGTACATTTGTACATCAAATTAAGCTAGATTATACTTGATCATACGCTGTATCCCTGGCACAAAGTCGACTGATGTTTCAACGCCGATGGTTGATACTTAACACTCCATTTTTGGTTTGAACTTTAGAGTCTACGCAACGGCGTACGGTGCTGGGTGTGGTGGTTGGGGTGTGGTACAGTATGATTTATTTTGAGTGATTCTCGTCCAATGCATCTTATGAAAATCATAACGTGTCAGCCATTAACAGTTCCGGTTGCTTCAGGCGTTAGGTTAAGTTTGCTTCCGTTCTCCCCGATTTAATTCACAGAATCCTCTAAAACAGGTTCAACTGAACAAATCGCAGAGAGGTATCGGGGATGACTATATAGTTAAATCCGGCAGGAAATGCGCGCATGTAATTATTTCATTTTCGCTTGTTTAATTCAGGGGAGAGTACCAGCAGAAGTGTAGGTTGGGAAGTTCAATGTTCTGTGAACATCGGAGTTACGTAACGGAATAGAGTAAGGCGTGCACTTTTTGCGTACTTAGTAATCCGCGTCAGTTTCTTCTAATTTTATCCATGCTAGTTCGTTTCTTTTATTATTATCATCATTATTATTTCTTTGATGTTTTTCTACCAAATTAAATTAAAATTCCTTAGATTTTCTTCCATTTCATAGTTATTCTTGTACAACGCGCAAAGGCCTGATATATCGACAAAATTAAACATGTCAAATATTACACAATTCTTCCAGTACACGATACCTCAACATCTCAAATGGGTTTGTTTCATGAATGACTGTTGAGCACTTTGGACAGATGTTCTCCTCGTTGTCTTGTAGATTCTGCACAATGCAACTCCTGCAGACTGATAAAACCAAACCAAATAAGTAATACCTATCAGCATGGTTGTGAAATGAATAAATTTCTCGCACAGTAAAACTCTTAATTTTAATGATTCTGCGAATCCTGCATTCAAAACCTCGCAACGTACAAACAGCAACGTTTGAAGTTTAAAGCTCGTCAGAGCAAATACTTAAAGCAATTTCATTCTAATGATGGAACCATACCAGGGCTGTAGCCAAAACAAATATTATGACTGGGGCAAGGTCCATGAAAAAATTATGACTTAGGCACTGCCGTCCATGGCTAAATTCTCTTCCTATGTATTTAGAGGAAAAAAAAAAAAAGAAAAAAACGAAGGGAATGACGGAGGCAAGTGCCTCGGTTAGCCTGTTACTAGCTGCGACCCTGGATACCTTGGTCTCGGACGTTCTCTCTCTTATTTCGTCTGACCAAATGACGAGAAATAAAACGCTGCGCAAGTCCGTCGCGAGAAAGAAAACCTATTTTTCCTCTCGTGGTATCATGTCTCTTTCAGTCCCTTTGCGGCTCAAATTTGATCCAGAAAAGAAAACAATGAGAAGGTAACGAAAAAGGAAACAGCTTCACAGGGAAATCGTGTCCTCCATCTGTTCACAAAACAATGAGCTGATATGGAACATTTATCTGGGTCGAACTATAGATCTATTTTTGTCATCGTGTTCAGTTCATATGAAACTCTCACCGACTTGAAACTGGTTGGCTTATCATAGCCTTCAATACCTCTTTTGAACCTGTATTTTAGAACTTCGAATTGTTTGCCAACAGCTAGATTAACATCCTATATTTCAATAATAAATTCATTCAACACACAGACACAAACCAGTGGTAGATTTAGGTATTGTGCGCTCAATCGTGGGTGTGCTTGTATTAAACATGCACCGACCAGCTTCTTCTGTGCCTCGGGAAAATTGATCAAATTAATTTCAAGTTGCCGCTACAAAATTTAAGAACGTGTGGCACTGACACAGTGATAGTTGATTTGTCATGTTCCATGCAATTTGTAGTGATTTTCCAGCGAGCAACGCACTCTTTTTTCGTGACATTTATTAAAGTGATTCCACTAACTGACTTTATACGAAACAGGAGCAGTTTCAAAAGCCGAATCTGCGCTCAGGTTAGGACCTTACGACGAAAAAGCTTAAAAAGAGGGCTGAATCAGAGAGTGAAATAAGTAAGAAAGTCAGATCCTTTACTATCTAAACACGATGAAAATACTGAAAAGCATTACATGCTTAACAAGTGTGAGCAGTGAGAAATGCGAATTACATTGTTAACTGGGGCCTTAATTCAGTAACAATTTTGAGTAAGGAAGCTGTTACGTGTGCGGATAAAAGATACCATTCACTATTGACAACCACAACGGTTCGTTCCTTCAGTTACGGGAATCAGTTGCGCCCCTGCGTTTGAGAAAACACTGAGCGAAATCAGAACAGAGAACTAAATTGAGGAAATGAAGAAACACGGCAGGTATAAACTCGTTCATTCGCTCCCAAATCGCACAAAACAACTGTCTAGATGTCTTGAGCTTTTTCCGTAACTAAAGCATCATTATATTACTGAATGTCTTTGGGTTTACTTGAGCTTTCGATAGTTTGTGTCTGTTTGAATATAAGGTCGATCTGAGGGTTCAATTTTGTTCTCGTGACAGAACGTTTAATAAATACAAGGGTCTCTTGATAAGAATCATGCATTTCCTAGTCTTGCACGAGGACCTTGTCCTCTGCACGCAAAGTGCCGTGCGAATTGAATCTATTGGATACTTCGGGTTAATCTGTCATCCTAAAAAAAGAACTTTAAATCAAAACAAAACGATACTTCGAAAGTTTCAAATCCTTTCGATAGCCATCTGAAAACTGGACGCCCCTTGACAATCTATATTTTATCAGTGTTTCCTAGAAAACTGGTCCATAAACACGAACATGACATTTTTTCGAATTCTCGCAGTGAAGCAGTTTATAAGGAAATCACTACTGATTTCCCGGTAAAACTTCGTTTCGTTATCTCCTGACTTCCGGCGAGACTGCCACGAAATGGCGGGAAAAGCCCCCAGGGAAATGAAGTTGGAAATCAGTTAAGTTCGCAACTCTTACCTACTTTTGGGCGGAGAAAATTAATATTTTCTCGGAAAAAGCAAACGCGGAAGGAAACACCATAACCGTGATTAGTTGTCAACATTTTGGTTCACCCTTGCGCGCCCTTGAATTCCAATATTTGTAGATTTCTTCGTAAAGGAGTCGCGCCCATTTGCTCCAGACTTACACTGTTTATCTATGGCTCTAGGGAAAAGTCCCTTGGAAACTGGTCGAATAATAGTACACGCAACTGACAAAAAACTAAATTTTCATTTTCGAGGAAAAGAACAGCGAAACCAGTGTCAAATACCTCAGTTTACAAGCCAACAAACTGCCAAACTTTGTATGGAAATTTAGTTTCCCCCAATTATTCTCCAGTCATGTACTTTTTGTTTTTCATGACAAAGTATTATTAAACTTAAACTTAAACTTAAACAATTCTGAGAAAAAAAAAAGTCAAAATACTACGTTGCAGATTTCAAGTGTTTCGAATTTCTTAAGCCGATTACAACAGAAAATAAAGATCTAGCACTGCTGATTATAAAAGAGCGCTTCTTTATCTCATTTGATACATTTTGATGCAATCTTCAGTAATTTTATTTTCAAATAACGTCCAGATTTTCGATTAACATGAAAATGACAATAGCAAACTGCCTTGTACTTTGGGCGCACTGATTGCGAGTATCCGCATTACATTAAAAATCTTCATCATTTTTCGCTGAACCAATAATTTTTCTCCTCAAAACAACACTGAGCTTCCGTAGTGCGTGATGTTTTAATCTTTGTTGTCATCTGTTACATCGAACTGAAAAGCGATTGACATTGATGGATATGAAAGATATACATTTGTTTTAAAAAGCGCCAACAAGATAGGTATCAAATGGAAGGCGACCGTTTCTTCGTTGCCAATCAAAATACCGAGCCGTATTTAAGACACACGTTCAGCTTTGTTTGATTTTTCCAAGTATGTTTTCTATAAGGCCTATAACACAAAGAACACTGACTGATTCCATAATAAACTATTGTCTTATTCCATCAAAATGGTCCATTTATCTTCACAATCAACTTGTCAAACACAGAAAAGCAATTAAAATGGTATTCATTCTTTTCAGAAGGTCTTCTGATGATGAGTTAATGATATTTCATTGAGAAAGGACGGAACCGCATGTTGCGAAGCTGATCTCGTATCTCAGTCATCCGAGCAAATAAAATCCAAACATTGCTATCACGGTGTGTTCCGGGGGTGTGTTGTGCTAAAATGTTGGCCTGTTTTAATTTTGCAGCGTCTGGAAGATTTAATTGTACTGGCAAATGAGGAACGCGTTTTGTATTAATCCTTTCGTTCAACTGTAAAAGTAGCGCTTTTTTTTTTTTTTTTTTATCTACGTTTAATGTTCAAGTCTTTAGAGCTTTCGTCTTTTCCCCGTGACGTATTCTTCTCCATTAATAGAGGTTTAACACCAATGCCTTTATCTGATCAAGAGATTTCTCGTCACGGTTTTGATAAGATTAGCAGAGCGGAGCATTAGTCTGACCTCTCTCTCCCATGGCGAAATTCAGCAACAACTTGAGAAACAATCTGCAAACATTTTGTCTTGTTTGGTCGGGAAAAGAACAAAGGTTCCTTCGTTTAACGGTATTAATCCCTTCCGCGCGCGAGGTAACCCTGAACAATTTGGGAAAGAATTCGCGCCAGCGACACGGTTAAATTTTTGACATACAGTCGAGGATTCAAGTCTCAAAGATTAACCAAAAACCACTTAAAAACTGAAGGATGTGAACAACGGGGCGATATATCTTTCGAAAGACCTCTCTATCGTGCCCTCGCTTAATGGTGCTCTTGAAAATGTTCTAGCTTTGAGACGACTTGAGAACAATTCGGCACGTACAACAGCCTTTTCAAATTGTCTCAATTTTTTACAAAAGCAAGCTAATACTAGGTCTAATCTAGTGAATACACCATGTTTACTTTAATGATAAAGTTATCGCACATTGTTATCGTATTGTTCAGCTTTGAAAGATGACGTTCCGCTTTCTTGTTATGACTTGCTACAGGGCGGCCTTCACGGAAATCTAAATTACACTCTCGCCCATGACCAAACACAATGCGAGACTTATTTTACTGCTGCGCGACGAGTGCATAAACTTATCTCCTCTTTGAAATCGTGGCCAATCTCGCTCTACACAAAAACAAGGTTTTCATAGCCTAAAAAGCTAAGATTATAAGCACAAACAAATACAAAACCGCAGGGGTCCTATTAATATTGTACAACTTTGTCCCAGCGGGAATACTTCCCGTTTCAAATAGCGACGAAAATTAATATCACCGCGAGTTATAACCACAAATAAACCTCAAAACCTCGGGATATCTTATGGAAAGAATGGGCAAAGAAAAGACATTCTTGGAGGAATTTTGTCAAGATAATCTCCGACTTACTTAGTATGCAAAACGAAGCTACATATATAGAGTAAATGCTCTTAGTTGAAAGTAATTAAATGTAATTATTCTCCGTGAAGTGCGAAAGAAATCACTTGGGACCCGTCACAGGCAAACTATTTTGTGAATAAATCGGGCTGGCCGATAATAGGTTATTGTGGAAGACCAATTTCTCAATCTTTAGCTGGCAAACTGTTTCATAATGACGAGAGCGCGAGAAGAATAGAATACAAAAGCCACTTCACATTGTCTGCGCGCGTGCCACGCTGAATGACAGCCTTCGAGCGTGTTATTTATAAGCGTCTAAATGCTTGGCGTCACTGAGTTAAACTAATAACAAAATAAATAGCGTTTGACGAGCGTGCATAATAAATGAACATCTGGCCAGCCTTGGGGCATAACAGCAGAAGAGAATGGCGAACTCGCCCTGCTCCTAGAGCTCTAATTCCATCATCTTTCAACGCCCTGGGCTGCGCTTTGAAAGATCATGTCGACATGTAAGGATTCTAAAAAGGCAGTCACACATCCCTGCTACTGTTTCTACCTACATGTGTGTAAACACTCGGCAATGGTTGTTGGCTTGATCAAATATCCCTTGCATAGTTCACACGTTATGAACGGATTCAACTCTGCCAGCTTGATCTTCTGTTCCTTGTTTGACTAGAAAGACACGCAAGTTATTAAGCAGAGTAGTTGGGGAGTGCAATACCAGATCACTTACTGACAGTGTTCGGCCCTTGCTCCCATCCTCGATCACTTTCATTGATTGATCAAGACGTTTTAAAACCTCTTCTCGTCAACACCAACTGATGATCTTTGAACGCAAAGTGTCCCGAGATCCAAATAAAAACCTCACGCCCGCAATTTCACCTGAATTTGTGTCAACAGAGCAGCTAGTTTAAGCGATCTTTACAAATGGCTAATGAGCATTCTTAAATGGCTTTTCCTTTCATATGTTACTATACTTATATTAAAGAGCATAATGACATGCGGTGAGTATCTCTAGCGTTTGATTCCCCACAGCTCGTCCTCGAAATTTCGCATCAGGTTATCTGTTCATTGGCTTAATAATGAGGATTTCTCCTTTCCGTAGAGATATCATCTTGCCTCTCAACTCAACAGAGCTTGAACAGAACACTTGATGTGAACTTCGTTTAAAACTGGATTCGCCTTAGTTTATTGAAATTGATAGATGAGATTTTTATAAGGCCGTCCCTGATCTCTGAAGTCTGCGAGCAAATAGCCGCGAGGATTCAACGCATGACGAAACAAGAAAACCGCCGCCACAAGACAGGCGGCTGTAGGATGCGGAACAATCAGCCGTCTAAATCGGAAAGGGCTAAATTGGCCTGTTTTCACCCGTTTACAGACTCAGCTTCACGGCAAATAAACCTCCGTTAAATGTTCTTCATGCAAGGATCTTTGTTTTGGAACAAATCGAGCGTGGTTTCAGGGAATACTTACCCGAAGAATTGCCATTTCAGAACGCTGAAGTTCAGGCCCACCACGATGTACAGATATTGACAAACCTTTTATCGCGCTCTGTGGATTGCGGTTTCCTTTGTTAGGAAATCCCGGATGAGAAGTCGAGTGTTTATTCGCTTAAATGTGTTTCCTTCGCCAGGTAGGAAGCTCCTCATTAACGTAAATCGCCTCCGGTAAATTATCTTTACAAAGCCAGCCTTTCAAATATCATTCTTTCGAAACACTGAGCCACGGCTCGCATGCTGTGTGCTCACAAGACACGACCACCCGGCAAAATTACCATATACCAAGGCTTTGATTTGTCTCATTTTATGAAAGCAAAAATGGCACAAGTAGTTTCTGTCAAATATTGTGACATATGGTGTTTTCACAGAGCGCTTATCTTCCCTTATCTAAACATTCCCGATTTCTTACGCGCGAACCTGTAGATTAAGCTTTAGGCTATCAACTAAAATAAACTGCCAAAATGCAACACTGTATATTCAAAATATTTATTCTTTCCGACAAATTGCGTCAGTTTTCCTGAGATGTCAGATCAGTAGCTGTCATTTATTATCTTGAACTAATGGTTGAAAACCTATCGCCACTTTATAATACTGCAGAACAGGTAGTGAAGTACAGGAATAGAATATTCACCTAACTCGTGAGGCTGCCCTCTTAACAAGAAACCTAACCTTAGCGGCAGTCGGCCGGGGTTTTTGCGTCTTGCTAGCGTTCATGTGCAAGCTTTCGTATTTGTTTTACAAGACAAGCAGATCCGGGCAGAAATAGGGGGCCTGTTGAAACTCGAGAGACATCGTCTGAGTAGAGGAAATGTCAGTCTTTGGCATTCTTGTTCCTATTGGAGGATTTCATTACGTTAGATTACGCGAAGAAAGAATTTGTAATTACATCTAAACTAATCTCAAAGCGTGAATAGCACATGGGAAGTAATTTCTTTCGACTGTGTAGGGTTTCAGTGGGTACGCCTTTTGTTTCGGAACCCTACGAAACAGTTGTAACAACACGCGACAATAAATGAAACAAAAGCGGCGCAGCAGCTTGCTTTTGTTGTGAAAATATTTTCATAGAAAAGAAACCACGAGTGAAATATGGCCCTAAAGATTTATATATCGTCAGAGCGTATCTTTATATCGGTAACCATGGAAAAATAGACCTTGATGGAGAACACATTTCAACTGATTCAGTAAACGCAAGCCACGGTTTCTTCCTTTAACTTTTCCCATTGTGTGACCGAGTGAATGTTTCTGTTTTTTTAATTTTCGCAACCATTTGAGTAAATTTTTGTGGTCGATTAGTTAAGATAAGGCTACAGTTCTTAGGCCCGGTGATAAATTATACATGAGACGACCGCAATTTAGAAATTAAAGTGGGCCCTAGGGGAAAATGTTGAATGTAGAAGTCTAAATTATCTTTGTGGGCCTGTGAGGAGACTTGTTTGTACAATTGGCAGTCAAAGCGTGCAAACAGTCTATCTTGGCGTTTGATCAGCTGTCCTCCATTACCCAGGGAACATTTCTGGGTTCTCATAACCGATAACTGAATTTGTCAGCTCAAGACTGTAGAGCGACAACTACCTGTGACAGGTGTTGTCAGATAGTAAAAAACTGAGACGATTGATTTATGTCTTCAAATGGCTACCGCGAAATGATATAAGCTATCTCTGATTATCATTTCATTACACGGGCTAGTTACAAACCCCTCAGCGGCATAGTCTTTCTACAGTACACTGAAGTCATAGTTGACTCAACACAACATTTTTTTTGTCGTCTCGTTAGCCGATTAATTTTGCATGCGATGGGCTGGCAAAGTTTGTCTGAGGTGTTTACAGTTTTACGCGACCTCGTCTCTCGCATTTTCATCCGGTTGTCTGTCGCAATTGTGTACAAAGCGAACCCGGCGCAGCCAATGACAACCAACAAGGACCCGTTTTCCGTCAATGCAAGCTCAAAAGGGGCATAGTCCGAGACTGAACAAACAAGCTTGAGTACCAAGTTTTCCAGCTAGTTTCCGTTTTATTTGGTTTCATGTTTCCGTTTGTATAGTCCTCTCCATCTTTCTCCTCTCTCCATCTTCCTTTCGCCCAAGTGTAGGTGGTAGATTTGTAACTTTAATATTCTTACCAAGAACTGAAAAAACTGCCATGTGATATACTTTCGGTCAGCGTGATAGGTTAGACGCTGAAGTTTCAAGCCATTTACTAACGTTATAACGGCAGTATAAAGTCATGATCATGACCTCTAGTCAGCTGCTTAACGGAGCTCCATCCCGTGACTAATTGAAAAGTTATGTTAAATCTGAACCAGTCTAGAAAACAAACAAACAACTTAAAAACAAATAACTTGTATTATACTTGAAGTACCACCGGCTGATCCCTAAAAATTCTTGTATCTCCGAATGATTCATGACGAATTAACAATGAAAATGCTGCCTAAATGTAAGTAAGTAGGAGTAAGAGTAAGATCTTAATTTTAAAGTTGTTTCATTTCAATTAGGCACTACCAGAGACGAAACACTGAGGTAAGATATCTAATTTGAAGAATGCTTTCCATTGTGTTATTCTATTTGCTTCCTAAACTACCCAGATTTTATTTTCTGCATTATTAATGGCGTACGACTCACAGTTTGTTTTATGTGGCAAAACTCTCGCGGTTAGTGGCTGTAAGACGCCGCCGGCATGGCTGCATTCAAGATCAAGCGCGATTTCCTCTCTTTCTGTTGAAAAATATCGTATCCTGAGGTCTACAAAAGTTCAGTTCTTTGACTGTTATTGAGTTAGTGAAGACAAATTGAAATTACAGACCCACGCGAAAGTAATTGTAAGTGGTTATAAAAGCGTTTTGCAGCTGTTGCCTAATTGACGCATTGTTTTGAAATGAACAAGTGTTTTAAAACATTATTCTAATAAGAATCGACTCAGAGATTATCAGTAACAGGATCAACAATTCCTGCTGACGATAATACGACATTGCTGCAAAGTCCGGCAATGTTTCCGGTCTATACTACATCAAAACACATGAACCAAATGATGGACAAAGTCCCTGCCCCGTGCCATGGACATCTTTGATTCAAGTCGCAAAGAAACTGAAAAATTTATACACGAGGTTCTTTACTGGAGACGATTTTTAGCCAAGGTTCAGCTCAGTGTATTATCGCAAAAATGCTGCCTTTCACTTGGATCACGAAAGGTTGCAAACCTAACTCTAAGCCGTAAGTAATCAGAAAAAAAAAAGAGAAAAAATGTCTGATACACTTATCACGGGTCATTATCGCAAATATGTTGACGTGAGGAGCTGGCATAGCTTTGTATCAGGTCTTCTAAATGTGCCTAATACGGACCAAATGATTCAGAAGTGGAAAGGTTGAGTAGCCCTAGAATAATTTATTGCCGTCATGGAATTATTCACCTGAGATGGCTATAGGAAAGTTAATTGCTGTGTTTCTTTTATTTCAAGATCAAGACAGATTAGCAGCCATAAAGCATGATATTCTAATCTCTTGAGTTTAATAAGACGACTACGACATAAAACTTCGTGCGATAACAAAAGTCATGGCATTATAAGAACCTCTGACATCAAACACACCAAAGTAAATGAGCTAAGCATGCTTTATTTATTCCGTTTCTCGGCTGATTCCAAAAGCAAATACTTTTTCAACTGTGTTTACTGAAGTCTAAACAAACACAATACGAAAAGTGACATGTGTAATTTTCAACTGCGTGGGTTTTTTTGTAGGCGGCGTCTCGCAGCCCACGCATAGCGGCCCACTCAACCGAGTAATTAAACACCAACAAATTTCGTGTATGATCATGAAGGACAAATGTCTTTCATGTCAATTCATGGATTAATACCGACGTCAAATGCGATAGACTTTTTGTCTGGCTCGACACGTGCAACATCCACATAATAAAGGCTGCAATGTGCGTTTTAATTTGCCAATAGACACGGTGTAGACGCCGCAGACATAAGGACCCATGAGGTTAATAGTCGTCAACGTTCAGGCAATATCACAACAGTTTTATCCAGACGATGACAAGAAATTGTGACTTATTCCATGTGGTAGTATCGGCCGTAAAGGTGACTGGAAAGAATATGTCTGTCAATAGGCTCAGTTCAGAGCAATCTCTTGGCCTGCTTGAAGGGGAGGGAGGCTGGGGCACTACTGATCAGTGTACCATAGTGTACTCAGTGTAGCAACTGTCCATGTACTCAGCATTTTCAAATTGTGCATCATGATACTGAGCTGATCTTAGGATTCAACCTTAGTTAGTTCTTGGACCTGAATGGCGATAAACCCGAAAAATTGAAACTTGATTCTGACTTAAATCAGCGTTAATTCTGGATAGTATTTACTGTTTATTCAGGGACGTAGCGTGAGATTTTGAAGGCGTACGCACAGCGCGGAAATTGGGAGCGCCGAAGGCGCCCCAAGCTAGGGGGGTCTGGGTCTGAAATTTAGGGCTTCAGAAATACCATTTCGAACTATTTTCGCGGAACTTTTTTCATCAATAAATGCGACGGAAAATGCCGTAGTTAGTTGTTTATTTTACCCATCTTTAGAGTTTTCGGTAACCTACTATACAACAAAGAATGGGGTAAGACAATGGTAAAAAACAGGGGGTTTACAAGCAAAGGGCAAGACGTCTACCCTTTAGACGGGCGAACTCTGTTATAATATCATCAATGTCAACGTCCTGGTACTTGCGAATGTGCAAGCTTGTTGAAGAGCTCAATCTCCCGTCTGCCATGGTACTTCGTGAGGGCGTTTTCAGTCTCTTCATATTGCTGAAACTA